AAGTGAGTTTAGGTGCATACGTGAGGAGGAACTCGAAGCTATTCAGAAACTGACTCCTGAAATGGTACGAACCGTGTTAAATATATTCATTGATCACAGCTTAAAAAAATTACTTTGCAGAATATAAATATCATCATAGATCCCGTTGTATGTAAGGAGTGTTTGGAATCCCTGTGCGCCCACAACAGTTTCTGCATAGAATGTTTGGAAGTAGAGGAAAACTTTATAGGTAGTTCTGATTGTCAAGCCACAGAAAGTCAAGTTGGTACATCACCATCCATTTTATTCGTTAAGACTGAAAACTTGGACCGAGAATTCGATATTAACGAGATGGAAATGTCGATCAAAGCAGAAATTGTGGACATAAAATCTGAAAACGAGGAAAGAAGGTAAGGGAAGACTATTTTAGGATTAAAAAAATGGCAAAGTGCCTGATTGTGGTACTGTCGGGTTTTATACATTTAAATATATCGTTAATCTATTAATGCGTATTATTAACTTGTGTTACCAAAATAGTCCAATCAAATCAGATTTAGTTCATTAAACAGACACGTAAAAATAAGGAAAAATTCCCTAGAATTTAAAAATGACATCCAAAGTTTGCAAAAAGCAATTTAATAAAAAATATTTTAGAAAAAAATGTTTGAGTCAACAGTTGTAGGATTTTTTATGACAAAAAATTTTGAACCTAGCCCAATGTCAGTTGATAAATAAATGTATCAGTTACTGCAAAAAATGGCTAAAAATCACATTTTTTTAATTCCTATATCTTGTAAACGAAAAAAAGATTTTTTTACTTTTAGAGTATGTACTCCTTGGCAAGTAGAACTAGTGCATTTTTGTAAAATTGCAAAATATTTGATAGTTTTTGCAAAAGTTGAGTTTTTCGAAAAAATAATTTTTTTTCAAATTTCAATAAATCATACAGTAATGCACTTACATGATCCATCTTGGACTTAAAATTTTCTCTAACAGTTGTACTTTCCTGGGAAAATTCGTTAATTCCTATGTTCTAAATTGCTTCGTTTTGCTAAAAGATGTCAGAGTTGGCAAAACATTTAGATTAAATTTGTTGCGCAAGTACTTGGGTATAGATCTCATTTGACATACTAACAAAAGTAATTTCATTAGGAGGAATCGGAAAAATACCCCCATATATTTGTTGCTCGTAACCTTATAATTTCAGTTTCTTATTTTTCTCACTAGTATTCTTAAATTTCTTAGTGATTTCACTTAATTATTTTCAAAACCATCATTAACATAGTTATTTAATTTCATCATAAAATGGAAATAATGCCAAGTACAGTTCCGACATTTATAAATGCATTTGGCATTATCTATAACCCCTTTTAAAATTAAAACCTTGCTTTGGAAAATACCCTGTATATGCAATTTTTTCAGCGACAAGCCACTGGAGAGCCCCGATAATAAACCGTTCGAGAAGAGTGACCGTAAGGTTGCAAAAGATGAGAGATGTAAACGCGAGAATAGATCAACGAACAAATATAATAAGAAAAAAAAACAGGAGCGCAATGAATTGTACAGATGTGATAAATGTAGTTACAAAACTGGAAGTAAGATCCGTTTTGCAGCACACTGCGCTAGATGTGGGAAAGATTCGGAAGTGTACAAGTGCAAAACGTGCGTTTATACAACTGAGCATGAGAAATTATTTCAAAGGCACCAACTGAAGCATAAATGTCCTTCGCAGGTACAAATGTACAGATGTAACGACTGCGATTATGAAACTAAGAACAAGGGTAATATCAGGCGCCATCAACTGACACATAAAGATCCTTCGCAGGTCCCGTCATACAAGTGTAACGACTGCGATTATAAAACTAAATACAGCAACTGTATAAACCAACACCAACTGATGCATAAAGATCCATCACAGGTTCAAATGTACAGGTGTGATGATTGCAATTATGAAACTATATACAAGTATGCTCTCAAAAAGCACCAACTGAAGCATAAAGATCCATCACAGGTTCAAATGTACAGGTGTAACAACTGCGATTTCGAAACTAAATACAAGGAGAATGTCAAAAAGCACCAACTGAAACATAAAGATTCTTCAGAGGTTCAAATGTATAGATGTAACGACTGCGATTATAAAACTAAATACAGGAGTGGTATGACATATCACGTGTTGAAGCATAGAGAGCCTTCTTAAATACAATCGAATAGTGTTGGCAACTGAAATCGGTTTTTTGGATAGTCGATTAACCGGTTCCAGACAATTTGGATTTTTACGAAACCCAAAAACCGGTTATTCGATTCTTCAAATAACCGATTATTCAAATAGTCAATTATTTGATAATCTATTCATTCAAACATCCGGATAATCGGATTCTTTCTTTATTGACATATTGGCTACTTAGCACGTACATAGTAGATACAAAATTAGGTGGAACTATTAAGGGAAATACAATTTATTTTTATACTTTATCCTGGACACAGACACAGATTGATTAAAAAAACAATCACCCAAACACCAAACCTGTTCATACGGGGTGTCCCAGAAAGACCTCCCATAAATACGGCAGGTGNTCCCATAAATACGGCAGGTGATTGTACGACAAAAAATAAGAATTTTTTGTCAGGAATTATATGTCTATCTCCTCTTGTTTTCGAGATACAGAGCGACAAAATAAAACTTTTTAAATGTAATTTTTACGAAAATTTCCAAACGGTGCAAAATATTTTTATGAATGTTGGTATTCCGGGGTTTTTAAGGGTGCCAAATACGCTGGTCTAATTATTTTTTGGATATTTCATAGGGCACTAGTTATGCTACATTCTTATTACATTTTAAGTTCTAATTTTTTTAAGGTTAGGTTCTTTACCATTCGGGCTCTAATTTGTAATATACAATTATTTTCTAAAAATAATGTTATTAGAACTTCCTAATGGGGACGGTTTTCGAGAAAAAAGGCTTTTAATTAAACTCGTACAATATTACGGTGTATAAAATAAGCCTACTTTTCTCAAAGTAGGCTTATGTTAAAGCTTATTGATGGATGTCTCGTACACAACGCGTACATTCTTAGTAATATTTATTTATTTATTTATAAAGGCTAGTGTTACATACACATATAAGTTTATACGCGTCCAAGAAAAAAAAAGTTGTAAATAACACATAAGGATTATAACAAGTACCTAACTGTTATACAAATATACGTGAACAACATATAATTAAAATAAATAGGAATAGCAAATTTCATAAAAATATTTCGCACCGTTTGGAAATTTTCGTAAAAATTCTATTTAAAAAATTTTATTTTGTCGCTCTGTATCTCCAAAACGAGAGGAGATAGTCATATAGTTCATATGACAAAAAATTGTTATTTTTTGTCGTACTATCACCCCCTGCATTTACGGGAGGTCTTTCTGAAATACCCTGTATAAATAATAAATTGAGGAACCACACTTTATTAAGTGTAACTGTTTTAACATTTTAACTTTTAACATTTTAATTAAAATTTAACTTTGAAATATGTGAATAACATCATAATATATGCCGTCAGTTTTTCAAAACACCGATTTTCAGATATCCGGTTTTGTGTATTATGTGAGCAACCGGTTTTTACAGAACCCGGTTAGACGGTTTCACTTTTTCTGACTTTTGCCAGCACTTCAACTGAGTCTTTGACTAGATTGGCGCACAAAAATGTTTCCAGGTCTGAATTACTGCCGATTGTATATCATGAAAAATACAGGGTATCCCACCATGAACTCCATCGATGAATATATGGAAAACCGCTCGCAAGATATTTTTCGAATTTGTGAAGGTATGATACGGATCGTGCGGCCTACCAAGCTAAAATATTTTCAAGGTCATCGTGTTTCCGGTTATACCGGAAGTCGATACTAACTTTCTTATTTTAAATGGAACCCCCTGTATATTATTGCATTTTTGGAAAGAGCATCTATTTTTAAGTTGAACACATATATCACGCTCCATACTTAGGATTGACCGCTTCCGAGATATTTTGATTTTTAAGCAAAAATTGACATGTAGACTGTCGGCAAAATTTAGTTTTCCCGGAAACGTAGGTTTATTTTTTTGTGCAAATTGGACATTTTGTAGAGGAAGACCTAATTTATCGAATTTATGAAAATTTTCCAGTTTTTATACAGGTTGGTCAAAAAAAATTATCAAATATGAGGTTCAGAAAATGTGGAAGACTCGAAATTTTTAAATGGAAACCCCTATTTTTTTTAACGTAATCGCATTCTGCACTAAAATTAAGTATAACTTTGTTAAAGTTTCCCTATACCTAAACCCAGTGGTTTCCATTTTATTTACCAAGAAACATTTCCCTTAAATATTTTAACTTGGCAGGCCCCACACCATCACAATTTCAAAAAAATCCTTCGAGCGGTTTCCTAGATATCCATCGACGGATTTCGTGGTTGGACACCCTGTATAGTCAAAAATGGAAGCATTTAAGAGCTACAAATGGGAATATGATAATATATATTCGTAAATATTGGAATAAGATGCAAGTTAGTGAAGTGTTGATGTCTGTTAACACTGTTCTAAATTATTCATTTTGTAAATTTGAGTTGTGTACATGTGGATGAGAAGGTTATCGCAACTCGCTAAATGTATTTTGTACCGACTACCTTAATTTTCTTTGAACAGGTGGTAGGCGTTTAAATATTTGTTGTAGGATTTAACTTGCTGAAATGAATTCTTCCCTTGTTTACAGTTTTTATTATTATGAATTAAACATGTTGTTTATGATTTCATAATTTAATTTTAAGTCCTCTTAAAACCAGTTACTATTTTTTAAACCAAAAGATTGAGGTTTTATCGTTAATAATACGGCAAATTCATATATAAGATCATTACACCATGTAAACAGCGGATTTAAAAAAAATAATATCCATAAATATTTGTAATTTTGAAAAATTACTGGACTTAATTTACAACGTGAATTATTCCCGCAATTAAAATATAAGTCTACACAAATTAGATCCTGTTCTAATTTTCATGAATTTCTTCATGAAGTTTGGAAGTACCGTCAAAAATATCGAAGTTAAATTATTATTACTTCTTTATAAATAGTGATACTTAAACTGGCAAAGTATGATTACCATTTTTTTTTCAAGTTATCTCAATTTATTCACGAAAATGTGTTTATATTCAAATAAATTTAATCTGTCCTTATTTCAAAGAAATTCACAAAGTTTAGAACAATATAAAACCAAACCTTTTATGAAAAAACCGATGAGTTAATTCATGAAAAACTTCTTGAATTTATTCATGAATTAATTCTCACTCTAAAACAGCTGTAAATAACACTTTGTTAGTAATATTTTAAGACTTAGAAATAAGGTTTAAACCCTAATATAGTTTTTGTATTGTAGGCTTGAATGAATTAAATAAAATTTAACTCGACATGCTGATTTTATAATACCGTACCTATCTTATTATAACACTGTTTTTCATATAACCCCACAAAAGAAATCTAGTGGGGTTAAGTTTCTTACATCGAGGCGAAAATAGGGAAGGACACCATCTTATCGGAACCAGACATCACCAGCAGGCATATCGTGCTCATTATGCTTAGGAAAAATTAATTCCAGGGTTGGAATCGGCTGAAAATGCAAAAAATCCAAAAAAATGTCGCCTGTCAAATTGTCCTCAAAGAAATAAGGTCCAGTATGCGATTTCCTACTATTCCAGCCCAAACATTCACTTTTTCCCGCTGTTATCTTGCATCCAATGCCAATTCTCTGGGCTCCAAAACG